AGGGCTCGGCTCGGAGCCTGGAGCCTGCTTCGGATTCTGTGTCTCCCTCTCTCTCTGCCCCTCCCCTGCTCACGCTCTCTCAAAAATGAAATAAACATTAAGTAAATAAACTTTCATGTGAACTAGGTAGCACAGCCTGTTAGCCATTACTATTAGTATGGTTTTGCTATTCTTCCTAATATTATGTCTTTGACATACGATAATGCTTGCTATCACAATGCCTGGTGCCTATAGACAGTTGATAAATACCACTTTTCGCTCCTCTACTGGCTGACTTTGGGTCCAGGCGCCTGCCTGCTGCTGAGGGAGACCTCACGGTCTCCTGGGGCTCCTGAGGCAGCCCTTTTGCTCTGCTGCGATTTCAAAAGCCAGTCTAGTGATTAACATCAGAACAGGCGTTAGGGCGAACGCGGCTGAGGGGCACTGGTCCGCAGGGCCCGCAGGTCACCGGTCTGTCTGCAGAAAGCTGGTGGGGTCGATGTGGGAAGGCCCTGAGGGTGTTGAAAGTTACGTTGGTGTGGTGCAATAAAAAAACCCAGTGATAAAGACCAAAAGGGAAACAGCGACCAAAAAGGGCAATAAACGTGGGCTTAATGGGCTTATTATGTGTTTCCTAGGAGTTAAGGTAAGAAAGGGAGTTTATTTATGTGCATATCCTGTTCTGAAGAGATGCCCTAATAGTTAAAAATAGCTTAGTAATTTGTTACTTTTTTTGATAGCGTGTTGCAAGTTAAGTAGCTTGCATTCACACGCAGTACGTGCCTCTTGCCGCGGGACTATGCGATCAAATACGGAAGGAGTTTGCAGACATCTGCCTTACAGAAGGGAGAGAGGATTCGATGTAGCCCCTGTGCACAGCCCCGTCTGGCTGTAGGACATCAGGGACTAGGAGGACTTGTAAATATGCACCCTGCAGCAGCCAGGTTATACACAACAAGCCAAATTAATCGCTACAAAGCCAGACCACCATTCATAATTAAAAAGCAAAGATAGCAGAGATTGGAAACTAAAAGCCACTCTGCAGCCCAGGTGACAACGGATCCTCCCCGGGGCTTGGGGGGATCCAGGCCCCTGAAGGCAGGTGCAGCCAGTGTTCTGCAGCCATGACGCGGAAGGCCAACTTTGAGAACACCGAGCGAGGAGTGAGGGGCTCTGTACCTCGTCTTAGCGGGTAGCTCTCCGCCGGTGGCTGGTCGTAGCTGGTAACCCTGGATGGTATGTAGTCAGGACGACTTGCATCTGGGGTCATTTCTCAGCCGGACTCCTGGCCCCGGGGGGGCGGGGGGCACCTGTGTGCTCACGGTGCCACTGTGCACAGAGGAACCACGGGGAGGGGAGAGCCTGGTGAATTAAGGGTAGACCAGTGGGGGTGGGGGGGAGCATTTGGACTGTTTGCTCTTTGGTATTTTCTGCAACGTTCTGCAAGTGACATGTTACTTTTGGTTAGTTTTTAGAAAGTGTTTCATCCAATGTGTGGAGTCCCCACGATAGCACAGCGCACAGATGGCCGGCAGCGTCACTGCCCTGTGGGAGCCAAGCACCCGGGGCCGTGAGATGCTTGCGAGTAAGGGAGCTGCTGGGACGGTGAGGAGCAGTTGGCACTGTTTCCGGGAGAGAGCTGACGCTCTGTTGGGGAGTGAAGCCTTCTGCTTCAGCACCGCCTCCCATGTGAGGTTAAAGGGACGGAAGAGGCACCTTCCCTGTAGCTGTGACTGAAGCTCTTCCGGAACATTCTGGTAGAAGGGTCAAAGGCCATGGGATTGTTTAGCCCGAAGGCAGGAAAACAGAGGTAAGACCTAACGCATTTTACTTAAATGGAAAATAGAACATAGGAAGACTGGCCGGGGTCAGGTACGGAGAGTTTCTCGTTTTTAACCTTTTACCATTGTGAAGTGTAGCACATCCACGCAGAAATGTACATAAAGCCCAAGTATGTGACTTCATGAGCTGCGGCCCAGCACCCAGAACGTTGCTTCCCAGTCGGAACACCCTTCTTCCTCCCTAAAGGTGACCCCGTCCTGGCTTCTGTGAGGTGCCCGCTGTAGTTTTGCCTGGTTTGGGACGTGATATAAGTGGACAGGTAGTGTGTCTTTGCTCGGTGTCCTGTTTAGATGATGACCCACTGTGCTGCGTGTGGTTCCAGCTCTGTGGTGTTTGACGCCGTGGAACGTTCCGTCGCCAGTATGTGCCGCCATCTATCCGTTGTACTTTTCCTGGACGTTTGGGCTGTTTCCGGGTTGTCTGTTCCCAGTAAGGCCACTCTGTGTACGTGCGTCCAGGTGTAGAAGTGGGACTGCGCACTTGTAGGGCGTGTATATTCCTGCCTGTCCCGCGTATCGTGAACTGGTTTCCAGTAGGGAGTGGGAGCTGCTGCCCACGTGGTCGAGCGGCCGGTCTGGGGGTGGGCAGTAACTCTGTGGCCTTCCCGTGCATTTCCCCAATGTGAGGACATCGAGCGCGGTTTCATAGGTTTGTTGATCTTTCCAGCTTCATCGAGTTCTGTGCTACATTCTACCCATCGATTATTCTTTCCACGCAGTGGATTATGGGTCAGTCACTAAGTGCAGAATGTCAGGAGGCACGGCACTGTGATCCTTGTCGGGAGTGCTGGTCCTCCCCAGCAGACTGTTGGCTAAGGGCACCTGCCCTTCCCCAAGGACACCTGCCCTTCCCTGGCACGTGGGAGGCGTGTGGGAAGCTGCGTTCAAGGACCCAGACATTTTCAGAGCACAGATAAAGTGCTCTGTAGGGTAAGCGCGGAGTAACGGAGAAGCACAAAATGAGGGGCTGCAGAGGCACCCACTCCCCAACCCAGAGCTGGGTGAGGCTTCCTGGGGAGAGGATATTTGAGGCAGCCCCTGAGAGCCTTTGGTCAGAAGCAGCGCCACAGGTACATTCTAAGCCTCGGAGGACACGCACAGACGCACAGGAGGGGGAGCCCAGCCCACTGCCCATGGGGAGTTGGAGGTTGGGTGCTCCAGGGAGACCGGAGGGAAAGGGCACCAGCCGGGCATCCTGACCTCACAGGCCGTGGGGACGAAATGGCGATGAAACAGGAAATCAGTTTCTCACTGGGGAGGAATGTGGACTACTGACCATAGGATTGACCTCTTGGACAAGCCTACGTGAGATCAGTTGAATTTCCCCCAGCAGACAACAGAAGTTATCTTTGGGGGAGTCCTAACTGCAGTGAGCGCACAGTGGGGGTGCAGAGTGAGGCCTGGGTTTATCAGCAGCCCGCCTCAGGCCTCAGTTTGCACGTAATTTGGGAGTCAAGCCTGCCTACCTGGCAGAGCTGTGAAGGCGTGCTGGGATGGCGTCACCATTAGACCCTAAATGGTGCCCCAGCGGTGGTGGGTTTAAGTCGCTCACAACCTGCTGGGAGGGTAAGTGGTGGGGGGCGGGGGGACGGCGGCTGAGGCAGAGGCCTAGCCTCGGGCTGTTTCCACAGAACTGGGCTGGGGGGGCGGGAGTTGTGCCCCGGGGGTCCCGGGCGGGGCAGGGCATGTGGGGCGTAGTCGCCTTCCCGAAGGAGTGACTCCAGTGGTCCTGCAAGCCGAGGGTTAGATCGGTTAGAGCGGCGTCTGTTGGCTCCGCTCAAACCCCTCCTCCCGCTAAACTTCCCAAAGAGGCGGTCCTTCGGAGGAAACGAAAGTGAAATTGAGCCGGGCCACTTCGCCGCAGCCAGGCCGGCCGCGCGCCCAGGCTGCCTACTGCGCTGTCCCCGGGGGCGAGTGCGTCTGCCCGGAGGTGGGGGGGGGGGCGGCCCACCTGGGGAGGGGAGCGCCCGGAGGGGGAGGGTCGCCAGCGCCGCTCCAGGTCATGCGTCGTGGGCGCCATGGACCCCAGGCAGGTGAGCCGGTCGCGCCCGGACGGGCCTCGGCCCGCCCGTTTGCGTGTGTGCGTGTGGGTGGGCGTGTGAGCGTGGGTGGGCGTGCGCGCGCCGCATTCTGGGCGTCTGCGTCGTGCCCCTCGATTGTGCAGAGCCGAGCAGCGGGCAAGGGCGCCCGGCCTGAGCCCCGGTGCAGGCGGCCCCCTGCCTTTCTGAAGCCGCCCAGCGCTGGCGCCTCTTGGGCAGTGTGCCTCACTGATAGGCGTACCCTCTCTGCACGCCTTCCACTTCCCTGAGGCTCCTGGGGAATGAAAACCAGCCCTTACCACCTGTGGGAGAAAGTTTGTACACAGCAGCTTTATTCATCGCTGCCCCAAACTGGAAAACCCAAACGTCCCTCAACAGGTGGTTGGCCCAGCGCCCCGGGGGATCGGGACAGTGCTGTACCGCTAGGCAACAGCAAGAGGACGGAGCCTGGTACAGCCCTGGTACAACGGGCGAACCTCAGGCTCACTTTGCTAAGCGGAAGCGAGCCTCAAAGGACTACACGCCACGAGTCCATTTACATGACACTTTGGGACGCCCTGCGCTGGGGGGACAGGAAACAGATGGGCCGAGGAGCGGCTGTGGGGGCGGGGTGTGGGGACAGGCGGCGCTCGGGTCGTGGTTGTGGCCACAGTATAGGGCCGCGCGTGCTCGGACTCTGTGCGATCAGAACGCATAGGATATACGCCAGAGGATGCGCTTTGTGTAAAATTTGCCTCCGTTTTTCAAAGACGCGTGCTTTTCGTTCCCCTCTGCCAAAGGGCTAGGGATTCCCGGTCTGAAAGGAAAGCGTTCCTTCGCCCAGAGCAGTCTATTGCCCGGTGGAGCCCGTGTGCTAAAGGTGGGGGCTCAGCTCTTGAGCCGAGATTCCTGCAACTACACGAAAGCGAATTTACAGGCCGGTGAACGCGGACCGGCTGGGAGATGTTGAGACATTGGAAGGGTCCCCGTCAGCTGGCTGCCGCTGTCCTGCTCTCGTTCCCGTTCAGTGGCTCCCAAGGGCTGTCCCCAAGCCACGCTTTGGCTGGGCTTGGCTTTCAGGAGACTTAAGGGGGCGTAAAGACAAAATAACCTCCCTGTAGATTTCCTCAAAATAAGTGCTATGAGCAAACAGTATACCTTCCCTTTTCTCCGTGTTCACTCTCTGCACACGTATATATGCGCATGCGTATATCCTTGGGGGGGTTTCGGTTTCCAAAATGAGATTATAGATCATAATGTTCTTCAAGTTGCCTTTTTGTAATTTAACTTAACTTTGTGTCATTCCTAAATTTTTCCAGGTGAATACAGGTAGATTACAACACACTGTTTAAAAAAAAAACCACAAAGCCATGCTGTCCCATAGCCTCACTAGCTCACTAGCTCAGCCCCTCATCTGTAGGGGGACATTCAGATATTTTGCAAGTGTTGCCAAGTAGTAGCAGTTCAAATCTAGAAAGCAGCTAGCTAGAAACTGACTTCAGCCGCTCTGCAAAAAAAAATTCTTTTACCCGCGTCACTGCGACAGCTAACGGGAAAATCCCTAAAGTCCCTATAACAGCCCTGTGGGGGCGCAGCTCCCTCTGTGCCCTCGTTCGCTTGGGCACAGCACTATGGTGCGGGGGGGGGGGGGGGGGTGCAGCAGGAGGAACAGAGATGGGGTCGTCTTGTTCGGCAGACACTTCAACAAGCGTTGGCTCAGGATCGGCTTTGTGGCTGGAGCTGTCTTAGCGCTAGGAGTGCAGCGATAACGGACGAGGGAGGTCCTCCTCCCTCCGGAGCTCCCTGTGAAGTGGACTGTGCCCCTCCCCCATCGGTACTACCTGCGGAATATTGGGAGCGGAGGCTTGAGTAATTTCTAGAGCACCTACCAGTCTGTGCCATTAACAAGAAAAGCGGTAGTATGCTGAAAGGTAAAGCTGAGAGGGAGGGGTTCAAGCAGAGGAAACTCCAGAGGGCTGGGAGTCCGAGGTCTCCAGGGAAGGTGGCATTAAGGAGCTGTCCAGGGACTGGGTCAGAGTTGTGATGGGGGCGGCAGAGAGCGCAGGGACAGGGGATCGAGTGCAGGCTTTGTGGCAGCCCGGGCGAGAGGTAATAGGCTGGTGCTGGAAAAAGCCACCTTTATGAGAAGCGGGGGGGGGGGGGCGGGGGGAGGAGGTTAGTTTGGTCCAGAGTGTGTGGCGTCTGAGGTTGTGGCGGAACGTGAGCGGGCGGGTCGTCTGAGCTTCAGCACGAGGCGGTGGCTGCGGAGACTAGATTTGAACACTGTTTCTGAAGAGGGGGGGTGGCGTGGAGGAGATCAAGGGGAAGGCAGAGCGGCCCTTGGACAAAATCTTGGGACTGGTTATACGTAAGGGTGGGAGAAAGGGACGCGGACGGACAGGTGGCAGGAGCCCTTTGGTGCCGTCCTCCCCGGGAGGCGGCAGGAGGACCGATGGTGAAGAGCTGCCAGTGCACGGCCACCAAAGCCAACCGCAGGGGGACACCTGACCCAAGTTCAGGAGCAGGGGTTCTGCGTGTCCGTGGAAGCCTTGGAGCAGGAGGAGGGGCAGGGGCCTCGGGCAGAAGAGGGACCAGCCCCGAGGCCCCGAGTGGAGGGCAGGAAGCCTCAGGAGCCGTGGACCCACGGGAGCCCCACGGGAGCACGGTGGGAGGTGTACAGACGGGGGGGGGGGGGTCGCCCTCGGGCAGGGGCAGGAATCTGCAAACTGCAGCCCTCAGACCGCGTGTTTTTGTTCTCCATGCTGTGTGTGGTTGCCTTGGCCGCTCGGTCGAAGACCCGTCTGGTCCCGTTCGGAAGCTTCCCGACCCTGGGGCGAGGTGCAGGTCTGAGGTGTGGCAGCCTTGGCTAGAGTAACGGGGGAGTGAGTGAGGAGCGGACGGGCCCCTCGTGTGGCAGCCGTTGAGGAGCCCACGTGAGGGTGCCGGAGCGTGGCCAGCCAAGTGCCAGAGTCTCCTCGTTGTGACCAGAGATGCGGGGGGCAGAGGGTGAGGGTCACTGAAGGCACAGCTGCCAGCAGGTCCCTGGAGCCTCCGGGAAGTTCAGACAAGGGGACGAGCGCGAGGAGCACTGTGGGTGTATGTTGACCCCCGGGTCCCTGAGCACCTCTGGCCACCGCTGTCCTCCGGGGAGCCGGGGCGGGGCAGGGGGTGAGCCTGGTCCGTGCCGGGGCGGGACGGGCTCGCGGGTGCCGGTGTTCTGGTAAAGGTGTGGCAGCCTGAGGGGGCCCGGGGCCGCCGTGCCGGGGAACAGGATTCTGCCAGCTGTACACGTCCAGCCTCGGAGGCTTTGGGTCAAAGTGCCCGGCGTCTCTTCCGTATGTGGGCACCACGCTGAAGTGTGAGGACGGAGTGGCCTTTTTTTCCCAAGGAAGCCGTCCAGCCCCCCAAAACCAGATCCTGGGCGCCCGTGAGGGCCTCCGGCTCATCAGTCCCCGTGCGCGTTTCCTTCTCTTCCCCGGTCCAAACGGGACCCCGCGGAGAGCCGCTGGGGCCCTGCCGAGGCTGCTTCCTGGTCCCTTGACTCCCTGGGCGTTTTGAGGTTATTGTTCTGCTTTTGTTTTTAAAACAAAGTAACATTTGTTTGTGTGTTTGTTTTAATCTCAGAAGGGTAGTGACTTTAGAAGGTGGAAGGATTCCCTCTCGACTCCCCAGAATCCTGCCAAAGGGGAAGGAGGGCGCTAGGTTGCTGGAGAGGCTCGGCTGCGGCCCGAGAGCCCTCGCGTGCTCCCTCATGCTTCCCTCTGGCGGTCCCCAGGCAGTGCTGGGGGGGGGGGGGCACCCTTGCTGGGTCACATGCCCACTCGTCCCTCACCCCGCCCCTCCAGAGTCAGGGGCAGCGCCCCAGGCAGTACCGACCTGGGGGGCGGGCTCACCGCCGCCCTGCTAACGCGCTTTCTTCTCCGTCTTCTTCTGCAGGGGTTCTCCCTCCACAGGCACCACTCCCACCCAGTTCAAGGCTGTGAGCCCGGCAAGCTTAGACACCAGCAGCCAGGGCCGAGGTCTTACCCGAATAGTTTCCAGCTCCAGCAAATAGAGTTTCTCAGGGGGCGGCTCCCTGCCGTGCCCGTCACCGGAAAGCAGACCCCTTCGCTGCCACCGTTCGCCCCTGCGCTCTGGCCGCGGCTTCCAGGGCCGCCTGCCAGAATCAGAGGACTGGGGGCCTGGGGTCTCCCCAGGGGCGTGCCTCCCGGAAGTCAGGTGCTCCAGAGAGGGTCCTGGCGTCCTGCCCCACGTGGCAGGGCTTTGCCGAGGAGAGGCGTCGACAGGCTTTCCTCACGTTTCCAGGACCTGGGTATCAGCCAGGGCCAGGAACGGACGGTCTTAGAGCTTTTGCGGGAGCTGGGGGAAGGGAAGGCGGCCACAGCACATGATCTGGCTGGGAAGCTCGGAGTCCCAAAGAAGGAAGCCAACCGAGTCTTATATTCCCTGGCGAAGAAGGGTGAGCTCCATCGGGAGGCGGGAACGCCCCCCTTGTGGAGAATCGCCCCCGCGGTTCAGGCCTGGAACCCGCGCAGCCAAGTAGCCGACGCAGACCGTGCTCGCCAGGACGCTGGGAACCCGGACCCTCAGGGTTTGGACCCTGAAGACCGGAGCTCCGAGTCTGAGTCGGAAGCCGCTCCTGAGCCTTCGGACATGGCCGAGATCAAAGAGAAGATCTGCAGCTACCTGTTCAACGTGTGCAACGCCTCTGCCCTGAACTTGGCCAAAAACATCGGCCTCAGCAAGGCCCGAGACGTCAGTGCCGTGCTGATCGACTTGGAACGGCAGGGGGACGTGTGCCGGCAGGGGACGACCCCCCCGGTGTGGTACCTGACTGACAGGAAGCGCGAGCGGATGCAGATAAAGAGAGACCCGGACGGCGCGCCCGAGGCCGGTCCGGCTGCCGTCCCTGAGGCCGAGGGAGACGTGGTGGCGCTCCCGCCCCGCGACGCGGCCGTGCCCCATGCCGCGGACAACGCGGTGGCCGTAGAAGACGCGGAGAATGGCCGGGAACCTGCCGCGAGGCTGGAGGGCGGGCGGGAG